AACGTTCTTTAGCATGTTCCAGAGTCCGGTGCGATGAGGCCTCTGAAGTGAGCTGAAAACTCAAGTAAACCTTCAGATACATGCTCAGATCCTCGCAGGAATGCGCAACACACCTACAGTTGTATTCCAATGCCAAGAAGTTTACGTGGATTATTTTTGGTAAACTGCATACATATCTCCATTGATAGACAGAATCAGTGTTAGCGGAGTGATCATTCAGCTGTAGTACTCTTTCGGTGCCTAGCTGCCATGTCACCCGAAGGAAGTACGAGAGCTGTAAACTGTCAGATTGGCCTAGACAGGAGAAGTCGAGATGCAGAGGTCGGGTTCGAACCGCGGACCTTCCGGTCACTGAATTCGCGCTCTAACCACTTGGTCCATCCCGCCCCCGTTAGCGGAGTGAACACAAGGTCGTTTTACCACCAGTCCAACCCTATTCGCTTTAGAATCTCTCGCGGAATACAATAGGCCTAATTCGACAATTCCCTTTAATATCCTTACACATATGCCCATCAAAAAACACGTGTGGAATATTTTCAGTTAAAACTCCCTGCATTTTTGTGAGTAGGTCGAATAACTGTCAATAAATGGGAAGTGGACATGCAATCGTTTTCGTCTGTTTTCAAACAGTCACTTGCTTGCATTTCGTTTGAGTTGGACAAATCTGAAACCCGAAATCTTTCGTGGATTATGGGGACCCCGTGCCAGGGGTAGCTTGGTCTTGGTTCGAACGTAACACCGATTGGGGTGCGTAACTTCCAGGTATCTTCTCTACCTATGCTTCTTCTAGGCTTCAGTACAGCTGTGTACCCAAAGGTTGCTTTGTTTGGTTTTATAGTAAGGTGACCAGTGAATTCGCTGACAATGAGAGGCACCCTTCATCACATGAGAGGGTGTGACAACATATCAAGTCACTTTCTTGTAATGCACTTGGTAACAGAGAGAGTTGTTGAATTTTAATTTATACCATTGCACAAAACTTGGTCCAATGTACAAGACGTTGGTTGTCGGACTGTTTCCGATTTTGAAAGCCTTGCTAGTAGTGTGAGGAGAGTTTTCACCCTGCAAATCAAGTCAGTCTGTGCTGAGTAGTCTAGAAGAATCGTACGGCTGTTCCATCCTTATTGGGGAGCACCAGCGGTGTTCATCTCACATCTCCCAAGAAAGGCTACTCAACAGTGTGGTGTGGTAACATTTAGACCGGATATAGCGCCACTGCTTCCTCAGTCGGAGAATTCACATCACGTGATCACCTGTTAGTGGGCAATGAACTTGGTTATGTGAATTATTCTTCCTTCTGAGTTATTTATAGTTTGTTGACAGTATGAGGAGATTTGATGGTTTCCATCCGAGGTTTCTTCGTGAGAGTGAAGTTAATGGTTAAAGGCCAAGGAGCAACGTACATCAGTTTCATTCATCCGCAGTGTGCATCTCATGAATCTCCAGAATGATTCAGGATTTTTTTAGCTGTTGGGCGTGCGAATGGAATACACAAAAACAGTATCTATCATGACTGCTCTACTGGCCGTGCTTGAGAACTTGGAAAGGTTGCACAAAGCGTTTGATATCTATCTACATATACAAACAAGGGTTATTCTTTTCGGTGTCCTTAGAAACCACTTCGCTCTTCCTTCTTTCTAATCAGGCTCGCGACACTGGTACGTATCAATGCATAGCGACAAACCCGGTTGGAGAAGATCTTGGTGAACTGCATCTGGTTGTGGAAAGTAAGCGATTGTGCATTCCTCTTACTTTGTTACCCATATTGGTGATAAGCAGCGAACATCTGATCTCACGTGCTTTGCCAGGCATGCGGGGATCAAGAACGATTGAAACGATGCCGACAGGAAACAGCCATCCATGCCTGACAGAGTAAGAGATCAAGCTAAAATAAGGCCTTCTGCTAGAAACGGAAATTGTGAATCAGCTCTCTAGCTTCCAGACTGAAGAAATCAGCTATCGAACGCATTCACGTGTGCTATCCGAACAGTGTCGGAACTAGATAATACTGTGGATTAGTAGTGTGGGTACTCTGAAGATGTCATTGCACCAAATCTAAAACAGATTGCATCCATGGTGTTGGGATTGCAACACAATTTACTTGGATTAACGTAGTCGACAGATGGAAGTGTGCCTTTGTGAGCTTAGAAAACAATGTGCTTGTCCTCAAAAAAATGGAAGATCATTGTCTTACAGACCCTTTCGATCAGGCATGCTGGACGGTAATATGTTGGAAACTCTGCACCAAGCAAAACGATGAGGAATACCCACATGATAGCTTGTTCGTTCTGCTCCTGAAGATTAGTCACAGGTAAACTGATCCGTCAACAGGTGTACCTTTCTCCGGTAAGATTTCCCAATCACTTCGCATAGTGATTAAGCTTTTCGAATTCATGCATACTGAACCTCGTATGAAAACATTAGAATGAGAGAGCTAGTTAACCTGGAATTTTGCCCTTGTCCACTTAACGGTTGTCATATCCAGTGCGGTAAATTCACCAAGCCAGCACATTTTGCTTCGGCGTTTAGACGTTGTGGCTTTACTGATATACACACGGTATTGTACGAAAATCTGTGCACTATAGTAGGCTAGATGAATCTACCCAACCAAAGATTTACAGAAAATGAATTTCGCTGGTGAGCAATCGCGACTGTTTGATCTGATCAGTTGAGTGTACAGATGTATTAACGTCGAATAAACTTGGACAAAAGTGTGCATGAGATTGGCAGAAACGGCCCCCAACAAGAGAGGCTTGTGACCAAGACAACTAAATACACATGCGGTAAAAAGAATGTTGCTGTCCCCAATACTATTGGCAAGGGTGTTCGATTCAAAGGCAAACAACTGACAAAATGCTCCAGCTTGCATACACCCCTTTACAAGAATGCCTCCCATTTAGAGGGCGAGGCAACATACTGAGAACTAACGCGTTCAGTGATGCTATTTGGCTGCTTACACTAATGGAAGTTTACTTTTCCATCCTTATGAGTTGGGAGTACATAGTATTTGAATATCACCCAAATGTTGGTCTCCGTGACTTTTACCCATAAG